TGGTGCTTCCACGGCGCATTTCCACGGCGCATTTCTTCTGTGTTAGGATCTCTCCATACAGGATCGCTCATCTGTGCGTGTGTACGGGAACGTGGTGATGCTTTTCTGAGTTGAAATTTCAACCACGCACATAACAGTACTACCGGGTCCCCTGGACTAGTCCAAAAATGAAATCGACCTGAGGTTTCGCGATATAGAAGTCCGGTGATTTTGCCCATCCTTGGCTCGGCCTTGCACAAGAGTGGATGTGGCTCCCATAGAAAGAGCACGTAATGAAAATGTGCGTCTAAACAACGACTAAATGTCATGTAGAGCAATGTCAAGACCACAATCAGCTAATACATACATGCGGTAGACGGTAGTTGATACCGAAATCTCCAGTCACCAAGTCATCACAGAGATCATCAATACAGAATGCAGAGAAATTCCAAATGGAGTGTCAACCTGAAGAGCTGAAACATCCTAAGCATGACTCTCCACCAACAGAAGGGAGAATCCCACAGCAGAACTGGTTCAAGAAGACGACTCCACACCAACACTAAGAATCAAGCGTTGGTAAGAGGAAGTATTCCGCATGGTCGCTGCAACTGGTCCTGGCTTCCCCAGACCCCGTTCCCTCATCTTCCCAGGCAATAGTCCCCCTTGGTTGGTACTGGGAGTCGTCATCGCTCCTTGATTTCTTACGCTGGTTGTTAGTCACTATAAAGTTGGTTTTTGCATCCCTCAGGCTTGGTAACCTTCTTCTAGCTTGCAACTGCATATTAGCAGTTCAAGAGGCCAAAAGTGTTTCACTAAACAACACATCACGACTGTCGGACAGACTCTGTAAGGGGAAGGTGACTTGAAATTTTACAGCAAGTTCCATCTCCAACCAATAGACCGGAGTCCGTCCCCAATGAATGGATCGGAGTCCGTCCCCAACCAATAGATCGGAGCTGTCGGCCACTGCCAGACCATTTTCAGAGCTTCATTGGACAAGGAAGTGATTGCTCAAGCAAATGCCTAAGCAATCTGACAAGTAATTCGAGAAATGAGCGAGCAACAGGGGGAGTGACTGACGGAGAAAGCAACAGAGGGAAAGAGATTGATCCAGTGGGAGGGAACAGTCGAGGGAGCACACAAACAATAGAGAACAATGGAGTGAGCACGGCAACAATCGAGCAAGCAGAAGACGGGGCAAGCAAATAACAGAATAGCATTCAAGGAACCGTGCACACAATGGATCGAGCGATCAAGGAGCCGAGAAACAAGGGAAGCGAGCCACCAAGGTATTGAGAGATCCAGTGCTTGAGCAAGTATGGAATTCAGTGATAACGCAGTCCAGGCATCAAATGACCCAACGATCTAGTGAAAGGGCATGTGAGTACGGAGTTGGCAAACAAAACAGCAAGGGAGATCAAGAGAAGACTCGAGAATCAAGCAATGTGTTAAACCACCAGTACACGGCCTCAGCCTTGCAGCAAAATAACTTGTCGCCACAAGAAGTAAAAGGCGGGCTCGGGGCACGGTCGGAGTGTCCGAAGGTTTTCAAATTTTTGGGCCCATCTCAAATCCGTACGTCCCAAAAAACAAAACAAGCTTTGGCCGTGATTGCAGTTGGATACACTTTTTGGAGTACTCAGGCGAGTTTGCCCTCAGTGAGGGCACTTCCGCAGAACGTAGAACACAGGAAGCAGGACTGTCGCACTCTCAAAAAAGAACAAAAAAAAAAAAAGCCTTTAGCCACGATTGCAGTTGGATACACTTTTTGGAGTACTCGTACGAGTTTGCCCTCAGCGAGGGCACTTCAGCAGAACGTAGAACACGGGGAGCAAGACTGTCGGACTCTCAAAAAAAGGACACAAAAAAAGCCAACAACTCTGTTGCCGTGAAAGTGGTTGGATGCATTTCAACGTTGCTAGTGTAAGTATGCCCTCAGTGTGAATATGCGCTGCCTTGCTGGCAGGGCCAGGAAGAAAAAAACAAAAAGAGAAAAAGAGGAAAAACAGCAGAGTTTCCCTATCGCCGTAAAAGTGGTCAGCTGCATTCAGGAAAGTGATAATTTGCGTATGGCCTCCATGACATCCTTTCACGACATCATTGCGCTCTGGCGTTTGTTCCTTTCTTTTCTTTTCTTTTCTTTTTCCCCTTCCAGCAGACCGCCGGCACCAGTGCCACTTCCAAAATTCCCACTGCAGGTACCCTCACGCAGAAGGCTCGGTCAATAGTGGCGCGCAGTGGGCAGGTAGGTTCGGGATTTTAGGTGCGGGTGTACTGGTGGTTTAAGGGAGTCGAGCGAGAGACATAGCAACCTAGTAAGGAAGCTATTGAGTCTTGACTGATAATAAAGTGACACAGTCACAAAGTACGCACATGAGTGAATAAGAAAGCAAGGGAGCAATGGAACAAGGGGGTGAGTACGCCATTGACTGATCAAATGGGTGTGTAAATGAGTGAGCAAGCAAGCGAGCACGGGAGCTGTGGCAGGTGAGCAAGCCATTGATTAGTGCAAGCAAGAAAATTTGGCAAGCAAAGGAGTTGTGTTACGAGGCATACTCTTGATAGTCTCGTAGCAATATATTAAGAATGTCCGTCGGGACATCTGTTAGAACTGGAACGATACAGAGAAGATTAGCATGGCCCCTGTGCAAGGATGACATGCATAAATCGAGAAATGGTCTAAAAAAAAAAAGGAATATATTAAGAATTTAGCATCTGCAAGAAGACGTATTAGATCCATATACGCCCAAGAGTTTCTCTCAACGAAGAAGAAAGACATCCGAGGCTCTTTTTCGGAGTGTACAAGCGAGGGAGCAAGGGAGGGACATGCACAAGCAGGAGCAAGCAGGTGACCGAATGATTGCCTGATCGAATGATTACTTGAAAACCGAAAGGAGTTCAGTGAAATGACCAGCCAGGAGAGGATGAGAGGATGAGCAAATCAGGAACCTAAAGGCTAACAGAACAGACTAATCAAAATGAAAAAAAAAGGCAAGCAGGCAAAGCTAGGCAAGAATTTTGTGAATCCAGGTGTTGGGGTACGCCTGCTCACAAGATGGGTAAAGAGCATAGTTGCAGCACACGAGTGCGCAGTGTGGTGCGGGGCAGTGCGCATTGCGCGCTCTGAGGAAGGTGCGCTATGTGCGCAATAAATAAAAAAAGAAAAAGGAAAAAACAAAGATAGGGCCAGAGAGAGAGAGAGAGAGAGAGAGAGAGAGAGAGAGAGAGAGAGAGAGAGAGAGAGAAGGATCCCCTTTATGTCAATTCGAGAGCCCCTGCAGGTACCACGAATGGCTCCTACAATGCATGGGGAGCTATTGAGGGCTGCTGCTTCACTGAGAAGGATGGCCTCGTCATGCACGAAAGACACGGGGGCAGACCGCCAATATATGCTGTGGATTCGAGTTCACGGCTGTAGCTCGGCAGTTATGCGTCACCAGTTCAGCTAGACCCTATTCGTGTCTCCACGTGATTCTCAGGGCCTCCCTCCACCACTCACCAAATGTATGTAATATTAGTAGAATGAATCTTCCGCTAAAACATGGAACATACACCGCCATATGCTATGTCTTTTGTGCATTTGGTGAGTAGTGGAGCAGGCCCCACTGGACGTATTCGTAAGAAAACAAAAACAAGAAAACGAGAGAGCCACGGGCGTCTTCATCCTAACCCATAACTGCCAACATGCAGACCTGAACGCCAATCTTCAGCATATATTGGTGGTCGGCTGGCCATAGAAAATGTAACTTGTGATCTCTGCGAAGATTCGCGGGGCCGGTCATTACCAGGCGACTGCCCCTTTTTGCGAACTTACCCCACCACTGTGTGGGATTTGCAGAAGGGAGCGGGAAGAACATCTTTCATACCCCGCCTAAAAAAAATATATGGAATGAGCCCTATTTTTTAAGTACTTTATGCTTCGCCATTCTGAAACTTTTGGGGGAAGGGCCTGCGGAAATCGAAATTTGGCAGCCCTTACCCAAAAGAAAATTTCGAGCTTGGGGCGCGGCCAGTTTCTGAGCTCGCGCGGTGAGTTTGACATTTTTGCCGAGTTGGGGGCCCTAAGAAATTACAAAACACCTACTCTTTTTTTTTTTTTTGTGGACCTAATTTTTCCAGTGCGCTGCGCTTCAGTGCGCTACGCGCGGTGCGCAATTCGTGCGCAAATCCACGCACCGAGGTGCAACGCAACTATGGTAAAGAGCCATATGCAAGTGGTTTTCTGGGCCAGGGTTACTCCTTTACTCTGGTGAAAAAAGCTGGGAACACTCACCTGGTAATGGACACAAAACAGCTTGATGTGGGTTGAATTGGAGATGCAACTTTCACCGTCAACTGAAAAGTTGACCTGTTCACACGCAAAAAATGCTATTGCATGTGCACTTTGCTATATTGAAAGCCTGCAGACATAGCAGGCTGTGCTGGTAAGGGTGCATTAGGTTGGCCTCATCACGCCAGGGCATTAGTGCCCGAGATTCAGACCAGCTTGACAGTGTCAAGAACCCCAATCTGTCCGGAAAGGAGGAACCGCTGGAAAGGAAGTGAGGACGAAAAGGAGAGGGGCTGAGAATACAGCTCCACTGTACATAAATACACCTTCACAGCACAGTCAGATGCATCTGCGATATTCAATGTTCCCAACGAAACCCAGCTGCCGCTGCTGTTTCTGGGTGAGCTTCTCTACTGCCAAAGAAACTTGGCTTCCATTCCCAGCCGCATCATAGACAGTAGAAAGAATCTGAAGACAGCAAAGTTTAGACCAGCGACCTGCAAAAGACACCACTGCTGAGTCAGTGCTGACAAAAGGAGGAGTAAGTAAGAATTTCAGTGTGTAAGACGATGAAGACACTCTGTTCCGATTGATGGAACGACAAGCAACTGGCACACATGACAAAAGAAAAGAGGGTTTTGATATTCATCAGCATTAAGTCTGGCCGAACCAGAATTACGCCTGCCCACTAGCAGACTCAAGAAGCAGCATTGTTACAGATCCTTAACAACTCTACCAGCCTTTGCCCCGACTACGGCTGGGACAGTCTCCAAAAGTGAAGACAGACGGACACCAATACGATTAACACGCGGCATGGCAGGAAACAGGCCCTCGCAGCGCTTTTTACAAGCAGTAACCTGATGAACAGCTATCTAGAATACCCACCAGAAGAAATTCCACCGCCCCTTGATGCCATGAAGCCCACAGTTTAGCAAGACAGCATTTAGGTGCCCTTGATGTTGTATCCAATGCAGACTAACTGTCATATCTAACCACCAGAAAGAGAGGGAAGGGTAAGCTGACGAGGATGAACCAGCAGCACTGCCAATAGTGCAGAGAATTCCATTGCATTTCACTGTCAACTGCCATTGGCAGAAGAATTCGAGTGCATTCCACTGCCAACAATCTGATAAACACACCTTCCTCCACTCCTCATGCTATGTTCTGATCCCCATTTCTCTCTCTCTCTCTCTCTCTCTCTCACACACACACACACACACACACACACACACACACACACGCACACACACGCACACGCACACACACGCACACGCACACGCACACACACACACACCAGGAGGCCAATCTACCGAACATGCCACTAGGAACATTGACATTTGCATATAGAGACTATGGTGCGCACGAAGAAATAGGCACAGTGCAGCCGTTAAATAGAAAAGGCAAAGGCAAAGGAAAGACAGTCAAACGTGGGATCCTGCAGGCAAGGGGGGCACAGAGGGCAATGGAAGGACCGGCTGAGGGGTGGTGAGCTTAGATGCAGTGAATTAACCAACCAGTGGTATGGGCACCTGGCCCCGGAAACGAATTCAGAACGCCCGGACTGATGATGCGTCCAGTTAAGGACTCTGCATCTATGACGAATAAGCACATGCATGGAGGTGTTCAGTGGATACATCCACAAATACAACACTGTACTCTACTGGCTCATGCCGTGCTTCGTTTTACGAAAGATCCGAATAATTAAACACAAGCATCACTGAAGAAGCGATTAATAACACAAATGGCTGAAGCCAGGGAAACCACATGTTGAAAAAGTTACTGCACAAGAATTCTGGAAATATAGATAGAGCTGTACAATGACTTCCTGTCCACAGGATTCCAAGCTTTCCTCTGGCCGTGCAGGCTTCCCCCAAATCACTGCAATCTCCTGCCTCAGCGAGGGACTCAGAAGACACAGAACAGCGCTGAGGTAGAAATGGGGGTAAAAAGGGCCCCAAGTGAAAGAGAGTATTGCATGCCGATCTCTGTCCCTATCTAGAGACTGACCAGTGGGCATTTTTTAGCGTGCCAGCAGAAGATGCAGCCAAATATGGTTAAGTAAACAAGGGATCCCATACACCACCATGACCATCCCATGCACAAATTGCAAACAAAGAGGGGGGGGGGGGGAAGAGATCCTAAATGAGATAAGACGGAAGATACTAAGATAGGTTTATGCTGTGATTCTCCAAGGTTTGGAAAGATGATCCCAGCAATAACCAACTTTGTGGCATACCACTGAAGGGATTAACCCCTCAGTCTCTGGTGGCGGTGACCACCGGCTTTGCAGCGATTGAACACCTACCTCAAAGCCATTCCGCTGCCTCACCTCCAGGGCCCCAATCCCCATAAAACCCTCATGCACCCATAATCCATACCCGCCGCCACCCTCCTCTGTCGTCTGCTTAGACTCCACCACACCATTGCCATTTGCGTGAAACTGTAACTGCGGAGTAGAATGTACATGGCCAGGGCTATGTCCCAGCCCTTCAACTGTGGGCAATTGTTTTGACACACTAAAAGGAACATCCTGGAGTCGCTGGGCCCAATCCACGTCCTCTCGAGATGGGACCACACTCGGACAACCTTGCCTCATTACAGACAAGGAGCCACCCCCCTGGGTTGGTATACAGCAGCTATCACCACTTTCACTTCCTTGTGCGCAATCAAATTGGAGTAGTCCCCCCGCAGCCGATGCACTCAATCCCGCAGCAAGAGCACCCTGTGCAGAGACTGGTGGCACGGAGGACAAGCTTTGTGTGTAAGATGGATTAATCTGCTCAGAACTGGATGCTCGAGGCTGTGACAGCGCCTGGTCCAGGACTGACATGCTTGGCCAGGGAAACTCCTGCAAAGGCCGCGCCGACCACACACTCATTAATCGGCTGGACCCGGCATTTTTATTGAACCCCACACTATCCGCTACCGCCGATTCCACCATCGCATCTTTCTTTTCAATAGAACCTATGCTGCCAGCACTCTGACTGATCAGAGGCTGCGCTCCAGAGCTGGGCAGTTTCAAAGCCACAGCGGCTGCATTTGTATCATCATCACAGGCACCATCCTCGGCACTTCCTCCAGCAGAAGTGAGGCCAGTTGCCCCAGAGCTTGCGCTGCGACTCTTCACCGACCATGCTTTGGAGCCTTGCCTCCCGTTGCTTCGAACTGGGCCTGGGCCTGAGCTGCGCTTACCAGATGACGAAACGCTGACTGCTGCTTCCAACGTTGGCCACTCAGAATCCAGATCGGACGGCGGTCGTGGACCCGGCTTTCCTACAGCTCGGGAATCGCTTTCCCCTTTGACAGAATGCCATGCAACAGGCGTTCCAGGACCATCTTTATTAGAGACACTACTTCCCACTGCATTCCCAGACCCACCTCTATTCACCGTCCCTGCTGTGCACCCGCTCAATATCAGCGCTTGCTTGACGCCACATCCCCCGCCTGAATTCCCAGACCCACCTCTATTCACCGTCGCTGCTGTGCACCCGCTCAATATCAGCGCTTGCTTGACGCCACATCCCCCGCCTGTCTCCCCCATCCCCTCCCCACCACCTCGGCGGGACTTCAGTACTCCACCTCCACCACACTCCCCACCACTCAACCCAGCTACTACTTCAATCCGGCCATCCTGTGGCCTTCCTGAGCTAGAAGTATCCACGCGGTCGCCAAGTCCATGACTGCTGTTAGCTTTCGCAATTTTCGAACCATTTCCTCCTTGATCACCTCCTCCTAGGACATGTCGGCAAATGGGGCATGAAGAAAAGCTACCTCTCAGAGACTGGATTTGCGAATGCAGTTTCCATCCACCTTTCGAAGTCAAACTATCGGGCAGCACATTCAGCTGGAGTTCTCTTGTGCACCGGAAGCAAGTGACATGGCTGCATGGAAATAGCTGAACAGATGCCTTTGAATTGCCGCACATAAAGCATCCATTCGACTGCATTTTACTAGGTTCCAGTGGGGCCAGGGCAAAAATGACGGGTTCTGCTGGCACCGAGCCATCTGCATCACCCACTCTGCACATTCACAACATCGTTCAGCACCATTTCAACACGTCAACATAAGCAACCACCCTGCAAAGCTCTCCTAAATGGAATCAGATGCAACATCCTTCCCTCCCTCTGTGTGGTTTCACGCTGTTTTTTTTTCCAGATGCCATCAACCTTACCTTGATGCTAGGACTTGCCTTAGGGGATTCTCACACACACCGGGACTTTTCTAAATGTATCTGACTGCAATTATGGCCCGATCTGGATGAATGTGACTGCAAGTACGTCCACAGCTTAGTAAAAAAAGTCCTAGTTAGAAGCTCAATTACGTTGTTCATCAATGATCAAACGATGGCTTCCGAGAATTCCTCGGTACTCTTCTTATAAAGAGCATATCCCCCAATATACTCTAATCATCCATCACAATTCGACTTCGCCATCCGTTCACCAACAGTTCTGCATGCAACTGTTCAGCCACAACACTGGGTTCGTATTGAGAGTATTTTTTGCTTCCCTTTTGAAAAAAAGGGAGGAAAGTCAAAGAAGTTGAAGGGACAATTGCTCTTTTCCTGATGCTAGTTGCTTACCCGTTGTTTGTAGTTCCCTTGTCTTTTGGGGGACGTCTTTCTCTTGTGCAGCATCATGATATCATAACGCTATGATGACGCTCTCCAAAAACGAACAGCGGGCTGGTTGATGGGAGTAGGCGACTTCCAGCATCGAGCTGGCATATTCCCAGTTGTTCGGCTTTGAAAAGACCAGTGTCAGCAATAATTCAACTCCCGACATTCTTCACAATAATCTTTTGTAATTTTTTAATTGGACCATTTCTCAGTTTATGGCACTTGTCATCCTTGCACAGCGGCCATTCTAATCTTCTCTGTATCGTTCCAATTTTAACAGATCTCACAAAGTACGAGCATTCTTCACAATCCGTTTCCGAGCACGGACTCTTTCTGCACTTCTGCAGCCTATTTGTCAAATGGGGGGAAAGAACAAAACAGTGAAAACACTATGGGTACTTTAGTGCCCTTTCCTCTTCCCATTTGTCATTCCCCAGTGCTTTCCACTTCCCGTTCACGATCCCCACCACCTCACATGCTCCCAAACAGAGGCATATGACCATGGCCAAAGCATATGACCATGGCCAGAGCATATGACTGCAATGACTCGCTGATTCTTCAGCCTGCAACCCGTCGACCCGAGGCTGTAACATAGGATAGATTTGCTATTTTGTTTGGCTGAGGGCTAACCGAGAGATCTGCCTCTGGGAAAATTCGTGAGGGACATATCTGTAAATTTGGGAAAATTGCAGGCCCGTACTAATACGAATTTCCTACAGCTACCCTAACTGCGAATAGCAGACCCGGGCTACCACTAGATTCAGAAGAGCCTATGGGACTGGTTGTGAGGATTCTGTGGAGTGAATTGCACTTTCAGTGTACTCTGTCATATCGCACGGTCAAGTCTTCCGCTGTGTTTCTATCTCCCTGTGCGATGTGATACTCCCATCCTCTCCCCTTCCTTCTGTGTATGTATGGGCATACCTGGAAGTCTATGTGAGCGAGTGTTGGTCGTCTGACAACAAGCAACCAGGATCAGAACAGTTGGTATCGGAGCAATTGGATTCAGTTAGTGGAGTAATTGATGAGTTGGAGCGACTACCATCATCTGGCGAGACACTGGAGTTTAACTTCATGGCGATTTATCATCTTCTGTGTTGGCGACAGTAAGGGTGGTGGTGGTGGCAAGTGTCTGGCGAGAGGTACTGGCCAGAGGGTGATTCACTCCTGCTCAGGGTTGTACAGTAGTGAGTGGCGATTGGTACTCAGAGGCATGGGAGGCTCTCAAGAGGCTATTTTTAGCCTTGCTATTCATCTGAGACTGGCGATTTGCAAGGAAGTGACCCCCAGGGTGTTGCGATTTTTGGATTGGGTCAGGATCCCCAATTCCCAAGCAGCGCAGGGTTGATTGGAGTTGTGCTGCACTGAGGTTATCAGTTTTGGCATCTGGGAGTCCTGACTCACTGAATCTGTCAGTGAGGGGTGAAGCACAATAGGGAGACCTACAGGATCACCAAGTTTCAGTGGATTCTGTACGTGGGAACACTGGGTATTGCCAGGAGAAGAAAGTGGCGAGATGGATCTCAGGAGACAGCCATAGCCAGGGTTTCACTCATCCCCTTCAGAGATATCCCTGAAGTAAGTGTGTTCCTTACTCTACTCCGTGTGACGATTCTGGGGCTATTTTTAGATTAGCGAAATTTGGCCTGTCAGTCGGTGGACAGTTGAAAATCGAAATTCAGACTGTGAGACAGCCATAGCCAATTTCCCCTACCTATCTTCTTTGACTTCCACTAACCCTGTTTGACCCTCTCTTTGACTCAACTTTCATCTGTGACTGCTTTACAGTATTGCGATTCATATTACACTGTGAATTGGATTGTTCAGGGTCATACTAGGGTTAGTCATAACTTTGGTTCTGTCTGTCCGAATTTAGTTCTGTCAGTCCCTGGTAAATCGCGATTCAGTGTTTAGTCTGTGTCTGAAATCCCACGGTCAGATTTAATGTTTCGAGTCAGTTACAGGGAAATCTGTAATTCGCCATACCCCGGGTATGGCATATGCAAGGAATATGAGTGTGAGCGATATACATAAAGCCAAGTTGTGAAATCACACAGCTGAACCAGTAGTCGTGTCCCAAGCAGAGAGTACAAATGCACCAAGAAAACCATCCATATAGAGCAATACAATGAAGTAATGAGCCAATGTCCAAGCCCGTAGGCCACACCAACACAGTATCCAAAGTCGCTCTCTCCTGTCTGGCGCTCGGCGCCCAGCCTACTCTACCTGACTAGCCTACCTACAGCCGGCTCACGCAACAGGATCACTTCGACTCTCGAAGACCAATGTACATGACTGCCAACACCATTGCCGACCTCTCTTCATGTACCAGGTACTTAACTCGTCACCCTCAATCAGACCTTGATTACCCCACACAGTGCCTCCTTCCCTGAAGACCACCCGATCATCCGCTGTACCCCCTGGCACCCAGCAGCCCGGCTATGGCTGCCTGCGCCCCGCTGCCCTGCAGCGCCCCACTTCACCTCTCGCGCCCGTCAGCGCCCTTGGCAGCAGCGCAGCATCAAGCGAGAGAGCAGCAGCACTTCCGCATTGCCAGCGCTGGCGAGAATGCCTGGCCTTGGCTTCTCTCTTCCTTTTGTGGAAGTGGCAGCCTCTTCGATGCTGCGTGTGGCTTGGCTGGAAAATTCCAGCAGCTTCCGGTTGTGTCCCAGACCCTGCGCCCAGGTCCAAGACTACAGTTGAGGGTCTGGGCCCTTCGCAGTTAGGCAAGGCCTGAGTCTCTGGACTTGGGTTGCGCAGGGCTTCCAGGCAGGTGCGTTGGCACTACTGCTTTTGGAAAGGCCGAAGGCCTGCTTCCCAATGTATCGGCCCTGCCTTTGTGTATGTGTGCCCAGGCGCAACTGTCAAGGCCTGGGCCAACTGTATGACGCAGCACTGTGAGGCTCAAGCGTCTTCCCAACCAACTGGCATGCTGCAAGAGCCTGAATACCCACATATGAAAATGTCGAATTTTGCCTTTGACGAATATTCAGGCCTGCCTTCACTTAGGGTGGGCACTTGGCTTGCTGGGGGCCTTAGCCCAGAACAATGCGATGTCTGATAGGGCCCCTTGAGGGCTTGTTCCTCACACATACAAGATCATACAGTGGTGGAGCCGTAAGATAAGTCTAAAAATAGCAGACACAGTAAATCGTTGCATCTTGGTCATTTGTTGCTGTCTGTCAGTCACTTATAGTCCCTCTGCCTGTCTACTACTAACCAGTCCAGGACTGCATCCTGAAAATTATTAAGCCACCAATACCTCTCCCTGCTTGAAGAAATTGACACAGCCGTTAACGCGCCGCGTCGCGCGGGGTACCCACCGGCGTGCGACCGGTAGTCCCCAAAAAACGGGGTCCAAAAAAACAAACAAAAAAAAAAAAAACGACGACCAAAATGAAAAGTAACAGCCTGAAACAAACAGGCACGGCGGGGCGGGGGAAGGGGGGGAAGAACGAGCGAGAGAGAGAGAGAGAGGGCGTCAGCCAGTTTCTGACGCCGAGTTTGGTTCTCTCTCTTAGAAACAAGAATGAATCTTCCTTGATAACGCGGAAGATTCATTCTCGTTTCTACGAGAGAGAGAGAGAGAGAGAGAGAGAGAGAGAGAGCGCCAGCCAGTGTCTGACGCCGAGTTTGGTGCACCAAACTCGGCGTCAGACACTGGCTGACGCCCTCTCTCTCTCTCTCTCACGAGGATGAATCTCCCTCTTTATTGAGGAAGATTCATTCTCGTTGGGCATGTCTCGTTTCCTTTTTTTTGTTTTTGTTTTTTTTTGCAGAATGTTGTATGTTTTTCTGTGTTTTTTTTTTTTTTTCCCCCGTTGTGTACTACCGGTTGTCCAAGGCTCGGCAATGACCGGGCTACCGGTAGCCTGAGCCACGGGCCTTGACAACCGGTAGGTACTGGTGGTTTAATACAGGATTTGCCGTAATTGCACTCAATTGATGTGTCAGGGAGTGAGTGAAAAATTGTGAAATTGACTTTTGTTGAGTGGACTCTAAACTGACCCCAGTCAGCAGAGACTGAGCACTTGCCTACTAATACGAACCAACTTCTTTCCTCAATCAGGTGACAGCAATTGGGCACGTACTGAAGGGAAAACCCAATTACTGTTGACTTCTTTCTTTGTCTCTTATTTTATTTTTATTCTATTTTTATTTTATTTTTATTTTATTTTTCTCTGCTTTGTGGGAATTGCAAAATGTATGGCACTGAGAAAGGAGAAGCTTCTGAGGTGAAGCCTCAGCTTCCTCTCTCCCCTTCAGAGGCTGAACTGCTGGCTGAGGAGGAAAAACTCCGCAAACAGACAGAAGCAGTTCAGGCTCTGAAGGCTGAGCTGAAGCGCAAGGAGGAGGCTGATAGGAAAGAAACCAGGAGGCGAGAACTATT